GCACTTGAAAACTTTCACCAACGTAGTCTACGTTCCATCCTCCGAGTTCGCTGGAAAGACAAGAGAATAAATGACAGTATTCTTGCTGACACCAACTGTAGGAGCATCGAGGCTACCATTATCCATGAACAACTACGCTGGACTGGCCATGTTACCCACATGGACGACAGTAGACTGCCAAATCAGCTACTTTGCAGTCACCTAACGAATAGTAAATGTAACGCTGGCGGGCAACTGAAAAGGTATAAGGATAGTTTTAAAACAAACCTGAAAAAGTGACAAATCAACCCCCTCACCTGGGAGACAATCACTCTGCACCGTAATGCTTGGAGAAGCACCACACGAAGTGTCAATACTTTCGAGTTAGACTAACTGCATACCGAGGCAGACAAGCGCTAATGCCAGAAAGACGCTGACACTGCCCCTCCCCCACTAGATGGAACCCTTCACACGTGCAACATCTGTGGACGACCCTGCCGGTCCCTTATTAGCACTCGAGTCACCTCAGAGCTCACCAACAAAGGCAACTTACTTATTAACTCATATCATTGAATTATAGCTGGATGATCGTCATTCTCGATTCATAGTGAGAGCAAAGTTGTAGTAGTATGTGTGAATTTTAATTTTTGCCATGGACACAGGCTATTGTGTCCATGGCAAAAATTGTGTACCCCTGTATTGGTCAATGTTGACTGCTAGTCTGTTTTAACTAATGATTCTTATTAAACTCCACGACCGCAAAACATGAGAGGGTAGCTGTTTAGCTATATATAAGAGAAAGCGTGTTTTTCCCTTTCGATGTTTACACTCATGATCCCTCCCAGTAAGTCCCGCCTTCGAACACAGTTGTCAATACGTTTATTCCACTCTCTACTGGCAAACTCAATCTTGAATTAGTCTGTGTAAATCAACTTTAGTAATTCGCCAGACCTTTGTCAAGTGAGGGTCATCCTTGAATGAGTAACAGTTAGTTTGTTTGTAATTTCTGTCTATGCGTGAGTAGCGATCGCTGGCAACTCAGGGGTATATAAACCAGTGTGAGCCGGGAGGTCAATCTCCCGTAACGTTTTCCAACTTCGTTCTCAGGTATGTTCTGTGTTTATAGCGCTTCAGTTTGATTCAGTCAATTGTAGTGAATATCAGTGTTCATGCTTTAACAGTGGAATTGTCATTCACCCAGTGTAAGAAGTACTATAAAGTAACTGTCATCTGACGTCGCTAGTCGAGAGATGTTGTTGTAGTTGAACCACCATGTTTCCCCAAAAATCTCCTGTAACGCTTTCCAACTTCGTTCTCAGATCGATGGGGGGCTTAATTGAAACCCCACAGGATGCTCGGAGCCGGTGGATATTCGACAGTGGTCAATATATGAGCGATGGCGCTGATTCGGCATGATTAATCGGCTCCACTCTACCTCGTGGAGCCAGATCCCAGACTCGCCATGTGTCTGGCTTTAACCGACCACCACAGCGATTGTCAGTGTTACAGGCGCCAGTGTGATACCCTGGGACATGTTTTGAAGTTATATGTCCACAGTGTTGTTGTATGTGTTAGGGGTAATTCTGGAATAAGTATCCTATGTTGGGCAGTGGACCCATGTATGAGTTGGTTTCAGTAATAACATGTTGTGTGTTGTGAGTGCATCTCATGTATATATATATATATATATATATATATATATATATATATATATATATATATATATATATATATATATATATATATATATATATATATATATATATATATATATATATATATGTGACCCCTCGGTTAACGAACTCAATCCGTTCCAGAAGGTCGTTCGTTAACCGAAACCATTGTTTCAATGGGTTTTTGGGTAATTGGTTCCAGCTCACCGAAAATTTCCTAAATTCAACAAAAATGGTAGAAAAGTTCACTTAATTTGAGGAGTGTATGTAGAAGGCTCCTGGATGATGATGATGATGATGGGATTTAGAATGGGGGTGGAGGAGAAGGAAGAAGAGAAGGCATTGGGGTGGAAGAGAAGTCACCCCATGGCGCCATTTCACCCATGAAATTTTAGCTTTCTTGGTGTAATTCAAGATTATTTTCTTTAAATCAACACTGCACTGCATTATATATTGTCAATATGTAAAATATATTTCAAAATGACCAATAATTTGCTTGGAAACACAGAAAAAAGCGTTTAGTTGAAGAGAGTCTCAAGCAAGATGTTACCTCCAGTGAAAACAGAGAGAGACTAATTCCTGTTTGCTGTGTTAAGAGGCTGGATGCCGCGCATTAAACTAGTCACTTTACCTTCAATTATGTTCAATAATTGTTAAAATGACTAAAAAACTGAATATTAAACTTTTAAAATTATTGAATAGTATAAACTTCTTGATATTTACTAAAATAGTAAGGAATTTAGGCCCTAGAACCGATTAATGTATTGGCGGACTGATACTAAAGCTGGTTGCCCGGTCAGTGCAAGCGAAAACATGTTGAGGTCGGTTTGTAAGAACTTCGTTAACCGAATTTTTTTTCGTTAACCGAATTGAAGATCCTTATGGAAGGCAGTTAGTTAATCGAAATTACGTTAACCGAGGTGTTCGTTAAAAGAGGGGTCACTGTATATTAACTCCCCTACAGTGTTATCTTAAATCCATGTCCTTAATGATGCCTTAAACTATATCGCATGAAAATTAACAACAAAGTAACTTAACAGCCACAAATCATGTATTGTGTGGTATACAATGATCTGTATGACACGTCGTGGAATGTGTTGTCTTATAACACAATATTAACGGTAACTGAGCACACTCCAAAATATATGAAGCTTGCATATTGTGGTGGGGTGTTTAACACTGGAGACCTAATGACAAGTTGTCTAACTCCTGGGTGTTCACTGTGGGTGTTCCAGTTATGGGTTGAGGAGAACCCATGCAAGACCATGAATAATGCTGCCACGGCCACCTCACGTTCCCTTACGAGAGGAGAGGTTGGCCAAAGCCTTATTCTTCTTTATCAGCAAGAGCTGCGAATGGGATGTATAGAATACGTCGAGGTGACGGTAACCCGAAACAAAGTTCACATGGATTCAATGTGGGTCACTGAGCATTGCTGTAGTGGTGTGTGTTGACACACACACACACACACACACACACGTACGTTTTCAAGGTCATGAGGGGCAGTGGTTGGAACTTGGAAGAATTGGAACAGTCACCTAGATTAAGTCTGAATACTATTTTACAATACTGATAACTTTTTCACTCCACTCTTTTTAATATAAGTATATAACTATATAATATTGCATATTATCACAAATATTTATTAAGCAAAGGATGGGAGGAATATAAATAAATATTACCATAATCTGTCGGAATAACAACAAAATTGTGACGTGGTCGCTGAGTAAAACTAGCTGACCAAGGCCCTTCACCCTGATCCTTGCATTTTTCACTTTTATCCTTAATATATTCCATTCTTTAAAGTATCATTGTGACCCAGGGTTGGAAAAAATCATGATTTTTTTTTTAAATAAAAAAAATTGATTTGATTTAAATCGGATTTTTTTTTATTTAAATCGATTTTTTTTTATTTTTTCCTAATTGCATTAAAATAGTATTTTTAAACCATAAAAACAGTATTTTTCAACCAAAGTTTATTCAGGATAATAAACAGAAAATTGGCATTAAGATATTTATGCAGTAGATGTACCAATGGAATTTAACACAATAATATTCTTTTTGTAAAATAAAAGAAAACTGGTAACATATCTTACATTTGAGTGCACAAATCCAAACGTAATAATGAAATTTAACATAAATGCTCTTATAGGAATACAGTGTTTCTAAAATTAATAACTTAACTTCAAGTCAACAGAATAATATTCTCATTTTGTAAAAAAAAATAATACTGGTAACAAGTTTATTTTCTTACATTTGTAGGATTATAGTGTATTAAGAATTACTGGTAATAACTTCAAGTCAACACAATAATCTCATTCTGTAAACAACAAAAACAGTTCAAAACATTTAAATTAGCTTAGTTGAACATTGAAATGCTTATGTACTGTGACAAGCTTAGATGCCTTTTCCTGTCCTAGTCGATTTCTTAACTTTGAGTGTACAAATCCATATGTGGAAAAAATTCTCTCAACCCCTGCTGATGATGCAACAGCTGTAAATTGCCTAGGAACATCCATTACATTTTCTGTCATATCATTGGCAAAATACTGCCACCAAGCAAGGGGAGAGATTTTACAACATCTTTACCAAAATAGACCTCTTTAAATGGTGCACTTCTTCCATGGAAGGACAGTAATGTTGAAAGGAAATGTGGAAGAGACTCGCACACATACTGTTCTGCAATGTCTCGCTGCTCAGGAGTCAGATGTCTGCCCTGATACCTTGGATCTATCACATTAGCTAGAAAATGGGCAGGTGTCAATGCTACTTTGATTCTTTTTTCAAAATTATCCATATCCTTCTTATCTGTTAAATACTCCTTAATATCAGTTTTCAGTTTTACCCAGATTTCTACAGCATCACTTAATAGGGTATGTTCTCTCTGGACACAGTCCAATGCCACAGCAATAGGCTTAAGTCTCTCTAAATAGTCTTCTGCAGTTCTTTTTAATGCCTTATTAACTTTCCTTTCAATTTTCTTATCAATGTCTTCACTATTTTCTTTGCACACTTTGACAAGGGTCTCCCAGTTCTTTAAATAAGATTCAATAGAATCTGTCACTGTTCCATCGTGTGTCTGATGGCATTACTAGCATTGTTCCTCCTGCTCTTCTATACAAAGATCCTGGGATGTGATGATTTCTGAATTTCAATAGTATTTATTATCTTAGGTAACAATATATTTCATGTAAATATATACATTATAATGAGACCTTATGATATGATCAAAGTTTCGCAAAACTGGAGAGAACAGACTATAGTACAGTACATAATTATGTAAATCCAAATAATGTTATTAGCCTGCTTATTGCCGCTCAGGTCACATTGTGACCTGAGCGGCAATAAGCACCCAGGGCACTGCACCTGTTCCATGAATTCGTAACCATAAAGAAACAACTGTAAGACAAAACGTAGTTAAAAAGGCAGCTTGAAATTATGGTGGTATAAATAATAAATAAACCACTTTAGTGAACAATTTAAGACCATATATCATGTAGCAGTCTGGTTGAGGCCGGAAGGTTCTTTTTCCTTAGCCTTTATTCATGTTTGTAACTTTTTCTTCTTATGCATAATCCCAAACCCCAGCCATCCTACCCTCCAAAGGGTCTTGCACCCCAGAGTCCATAATCTTCCAATTACAAGAAATCATAGCCTTTCCCTAAATTTACTGCAGCCATCAGTGTCAGTGACAATGCCAAATACTGCATATGAATACTCATCATAAGACATTGTATATGCCGCACAGTTGTAGAAGCATGCATGTCCGAGTGACATCATAGGGAATAATGTGGGGAGGTGAAACGCTGGGGCCCAGGGAGCTTTGTCGCACATCTCCACAGAAAATAACTTTTTCTATACTGCTGTTCTAACACCTGAGATACTGTTACGTGCAGTAATATTTGTTCAACAGGACTATACTAATTATGCTGCTTCAGCCTCGTTTTATCTTTCGGAAACACTGCATTAAAACCTATATAATTCAATCTTATCAGTAATATAAACCATCTGTCACATTTCTCAAGTTATCAGTACCGTGTATAGGGTTCATGATAATGCTCCACTCTCACACAACCTGCCTCTCATTCAGCCCCCACCTCCTCTATCCCCCACACACACTACAGTGGGCGACATCTGTTGGCCGACCATAGCATTTCCCCCAGCTGTTTCGAAATTTCAAACTCGGGTTATTCGAACCCTCACTGTGGCTGGGTAGTGGACACGACTTTTGTGCACGATAGTACTCCTCCTGAACATTTAAATTATCTCTTACACAAGTGTTATATAGTACTTAATATCAACTTGTGGCGTGACACTACCACTGTGTCAAGACGTATTGACGCAGTGTCCAGTATAATTAGGAATGCTAAACAATGTTCAATATCATTAGTGAGTTTGGTCTCACAGAACCCAAGTACATCAATTTGTGGACAATAAAAGATATACACTGATCTATAAATGTAACTAAGTGAAGGGGATGCTGCTGATATTATGGCTAATTGGGGAGAAGGATTGAGGTAGTATAAGGATGGAACTAAACTCAGGTGAGTCAGGAAAGTAATAGTTACAGTTGGGTTTGGTGTAACCCAGTGAGTCTTGTAGAAAGACATCAGGGTCAATATGGGGGAGTATTGTGTAGACACCATGGGTAAAGGGGGTGTAACACATATGGTCCAGTATATCCAAGGGAACAACACCAGCAATCATGCACACCACCTAGTGTCCAGCCTGGGCACTATAGTACAGTACCAAGCTTTATTCCCTAGTGATGCCATATGACCGCAATCAAGTTATTCAACAGTCAGTATCAGTGTTGTTACTTAGCAGTGATTTTTTTGTTTTTTCTTACAGTGAGATGACATCACTAAAGCTTACATTGTTTTTTTTGTGACTTAAGTGCTTACGGCAGACGATGACCATCGTTCATGTGGACTGTTTACATCGCAAATAGTGGGTGGTCTTAATACATCACCATCGTTAACGCAGAATATCATAAATCGGGGGAGACCTGTACCATATAGGAATGAAAAAGATCACTAGAAAGATTTAACATATGATGATGTACAGTACATGTGATTAACAATCATATGATGCACAGTTTACAAGTGACAACATGACATGGTTAAGTACAGTACACATCAACACCTGATTTGACCAGCAAAATAAATCTTACTTTTTTACCATCACAACTAACACAAGTTTATTTTACTTACAAAAGCTTGTTTAACATTTACAAAAATGGCATTAGTCACTTCTGTTTAGATAGGTTGTTACTGAAGAAGCTTTATATTAATCTATATTACAGTAGTCAAGTATATTGAGTCACATTTAACTTCTGCTAAAGTAATTCAAACATTAATTCAATTCTATTTTTGTTTATGTACTGTAAAAGTTTATGGTATTTCAGATGGTCCTTCTGGGAAAAGCATTTCCAATATTCATCTTATTTAAACTCTTTTATACATTTGTGTGCAAGTATGTGTGCCTTGAGAGTACTCTTATAGCCAAAATGTTTTCCACAATTATCACATTTGAAATTCTTAATACCACTGTGTGTCTGTGTGTGTGCCTTGAGAGCATCATTTTGGGCAAAAAGTTTCCCACATTCATCACACTTAAACTTCTTAATACCAGTGTGTAAAAGTATGTGCCTCTTCAGATGACCCTTGAATGCAAAATGTTTCCCACATTCATCACACTTGAAAAGTTTTTTAACACCAGAGTGCCTAAGTTGATGTGCTTTGAGAGAACTCCTTTGGGCAAAAAACTTCCCACATTCATCACATTTGAAGTTTTTAATGCCATTGTGCCCCAGTATGTGTTTCTTGAGTTGACCCTTAAGTGCAAAATGTTTCCCACAATCATCACATTTGAACTTTTTTAAACCATTGTGCACAAGTAAGTGTGCAGTGAGGTTACTCTTAATGGAAAACTGTTTCTCACACTCATTGCATTTAAAATTTTTAATACCATTGTGCACGAGTGTGTGTGTTTTGAGTGAATTCTTTTGGGCAAAACATTTCCCACATTTATCACAACTAAACTTTTTAACAGGATTGTGCACAACAGCGTGTGTTTTGAGTGAACTCTTTTGGGTAAACTGTTTCCCACATTTATCACATTTAAACTTTTTAATTATAATACTACAGGTATTGTGCACAATCATGTGTCTCTTGAGATCAGCCTTCCCTCCAAAGTGTTTTCCACATTCATCACATTGAAACTTCTTAATACCTTCGTGCACAACACGCAAGTGTCTCTTGAGATTACTATTTAAGGAAAACTGTTTGTCACATTCATCACACTTAAACTTTTTTATACCATTGTGTACAAACAAGTGTCTCTTCAGATCACTATTTCCAGAAAACCGTTTCCCACATTCCTCACATGAAAATTTTTTTTCCTTGCTTGACATTGTGAACTTCAACTTGGTCCTGAGATGTGATACCTGAAACAAAATATTTGTTCTTAGTTAAGATTATTATTAAACATCCCATTAATTAATGTGAACTACAAATAACTAACTGGAAATATTTTAAAGAGAGTTACATTATATTTAATCATAGTTTATGCCTGAAAGTTTGCAGATAAATTCATGCACATCCTTATCTATGAGAGTTATTGTTTATAAATCTAGTGATGCTTGTAGTGCCCTAAGCAGTGACAGTTTACCAGAGTTGTAACGTAAATTTATTTAGTTACAGGAATTGGTAACCTGGATGTTAATTGATTTGCGGATCGTATTCCAGGGCAAGGGTTAGCCAGTGCACTTGGCGAGTTGTCCGGTCTTCTCGGACTATTCCTTGACACTGGGTCATGCAACTCGTTAACTAAGGGTGTGGTTGTTGTGTTGGTGACAGCTTCTACACCTTAACAAATTCACGCCTAGGGGGCCCTTGGGCCGGCCATCCTCGTTACACGAGGGGCAACCATTAATTTTATTATTACACACATATATACAATACAAGTAAAGGAAATCACTGTCTCTAGAACGAATTGCTTCCTGTCCCAGCCACGAAAACACCAGCAACTTTAAAACTATCCGCAGACATTCTTGGGTACATCCAGGGTGTAATCCGCAAATAATAGAGGACTGCAAATTAAAAATCTGCAAATTATCCTGGCAAACTGTACTCAACTCATGTACTTCATGTACTCAGTTACATGTACAAACCATCCGACATACATATTGTGAAAAAAGAAATAAATAAATAATTGTCCTAACGGCAAACACATAAAAGGAATACAGTAAACATTTGTTATTCGCCAAGGAATGGAACTTGTAAACTTGTATATTAAGAGAGATTAACTTAACTTTCTTCAAACAGAATGTGTAAAAGAATTAAAAAGAATAACTATGTATCATAAGGTCAAAAACAAAGGTACTGTACTAAACATTATTTAATGTGTGAAAGTTAGAACGCTTAGCAGGGGAATGGGAGGGGGGAGCCGAGTATGGGAGCCCGTTACTATAGGTCAGCAGAGGCGACGTCCCAACTAGGTACCGTACCTCTGCCGAATATTGAGGCCGTGCAGCAAGCGTCAAATGCAAATGGCAGTTGCATTTAACGCTCATTTAGCTTTTCCTTAATGGTTTTAGCTGCATATTTTCATCTAGGTCAGCGTTTCCCAAGCCCTGGGTCACAAGGAGCTCGTGAGGTAGCTGGGGTCACATGGTCCATTGATGCGGTGTCAAGGTCGTGCCAGCCAGCAGATACGCGTTTGCCATATATAAGAACATAAGAACATAAGAAAATAAGGAGTCTGCAATAGGCCGGTTGGCCTGTGCATGGCAGCTCCTGTCTTGAGTTACTACCACTCTCTATCATCCATGAATCTATCTAGCCTCCTTTTGAAACTTTCCAGAGTTCCCGCACTTACTACAAAGTTGCTAAGCTTGTTCCACTCGTCCACCACCCTATTTGTGAACCAGTTTCTTCCTATCTCCCTCCTAAACCTAAACTTATCCAACTTGAATCCGTTGCTCCGAGTCCTATCCTGCTCGGATATTACAAGAACTTTATCTATATCCCCTTTATTGATTCCTTTCACCCACTTAAATACTTCTATCATATCTCCCCGCACTCTTCGTCTTTCTAGGGAATGCAAGTTAAGTTTCTTTAACCTATCCTGATATGGAAGGTTTCTAAGTCCCTGAATCATTTTTGTCATTCTTCGCCTGACATTTGTTTGTCTTGTCATAGTGCCATTATTTTTCTGAAAGATGTTAATTGTTAAGTTAATGGGATGTTCTGTTAGGGCAGCGGATATAAATCAGGTACCCGAAATTAAGCCGTTGACGATCTCGGGCTCGGCCTGGCGAGAGGCTTGGCACACAATTAATTAAACGTGTCGACCAGTTACCGGCTGGCCTACACTTAAAAATTTAATTTGCTCCTGAACTCTGGGAAGGGAAAACATTAAGGGTTTTCTATCATCTACAGTAGTGATTACTGTACTTAAGAACACAGCATTGTGTCAGTGATTTTTTTTTATATCATTGTGCAGTTGTTACAATGTCTTTGTAAAAATTTTGATATCAGCAGCATCCAACTTCTCAGACAGATGGGTGCTGTGTAGGATGCTTAGTTTTGGGTGGAATTGTGCTCTAGGAGTGGTGCGTTCTCTTAGCGCACTGATATAAATTGCTTTGTTAATTTTGTTTTACTATCATAAACAAACAATAATTGCATTGAAACTTTGTGTTACAGCTGTAATGGAAAAGTATGGAGTTGTGTCATGTGCTCTAAGGAAATTGCTAAGGAATCCTTGAAACCAAACAAACTTGAGAAACATTTGGATACCCATGTCAACATTGCTTCACTGTCAGGAGAGGCTCAAAGCAGAGTTTTCCAACAACATAACAAGGAACTGACAAAATCCCAGTATGTACTTACTAAAGCTCTTATTCAGAAGGAACAGACTGAAATCTTCTCATACAAGACAGCTATTCTCATTGCCCAGGAAAAATTTCCATTCATAGAGAGAGAAACTAAAACAAAAACTTCTTTGCAAAATTTTTGGGAAATATTTGAAGGAGACTCTTTTGCCAAAAAGTTGATTCACGATGTTGATAAAACACCTTTAAGTAATCACACGACACATCCAGTGTACTGCAGTGGACTTGAAAGAGCAGATATTCCCCCTGGACAGCATTGGCAGTGGAGGAGTCAACAGATCACAGCCACAGCTTCTGGTCTATGGAAGGTTTCTTAAGGAATGTTCAGTTGCAGAAGAGTTACTCATCTGTATTCCACTCAAAACTACATCCAAAGGTGAGAATGTATTCAATGCTATAAACAAGTTCTTTACAGAAAACAAATTGGACTGGAGTAAAGTTACCGAATGCAGCATGGATGGTGCACCATCAGTGATGGTGAACAATATTGGATTGTGGGAATTTTTATCAAGAAAGCATCCTCACATTAAAAACAACTCACTGCATCATTCACAGACAAAGCTTGGTATAAAAGGAATTAACTCAAGAGTTTCAGTGAGTTGACGCAATCAGTGGTTAATATTATGAACTACATTTAAAACTAGGGAATTGAATACTGTACTGTAGGTGCATGTTCAAGCAGCTAAGCATTGAAGAAAATAATGACTTTCTTGTGGGAAGACCCGAGAGAGGGTTTTTATTCTTCGTAATTGAATACCTGTACCTAATTTCCTGCAAGTTCAAAGTCATATGAACGCCCAATATTTCAATAATCACCACTTCCTAGTGTGATTGGCACTTCTGAGAGATGTATTTCATCACATTAACAAGCTCAATACAGAACTTAAAGGAAAAGGCAAATGGGATTTTAACCTCCTATGTGCAGTTAAGGCTTTCATACGCAAGCTGCAGTCGATTCGAGGTCAAGCAGTAGCTGGCAATTTTTTTCCCGTTTCTCCATTACTTGGATTTAAGAATTCAAAGCAACAATGGACTTGGACTTTGATATCACAGTGGATCATATGGAGGAGAAACAGGATTTGTTGGATTATTTGCACAACCTTTCCAAAAACATTAATGATAGATTTCCTAACTTGTTCACTGAGTCTTTTGATTTTGTACAGTTCCCATTCAAGGCTGATGCATCAATGTGGGACTTTTTTGCTCTTGAAATGGCATACGGTCACCCCTCGACTTACGACAGGGTTAGGGACCCAAATCCAGGTCGTAAGTCGAAGTGGTCGTAAGTCGAAAATGCGCAAATAATACATAGAAAATCTAAAATGGGCGTCTCTTTTTCTTCTCAGCACCACAAAACTCTCACCTTTAGCTTGCCAGCCATTTTAAAGTGAATTACAAACGAAAAAATTTTCAGTACACAGCGCAATCACTGACGTTGGGACTCGAAAATACGAAATTTGGGTGTTTGCTCCCCTCTGTAATGAGCTGGCTCTTTAACATGTTGGAACAGAAAATTGTCTCAGAGTTTCTACGAAAAGATCATTTGGTGTGCGAAAAGATCATTTGGTGTGGTTTCATTTCTCCAGTCGATGTCGCCATAGGTAGTTAAATTCCCCCATGATAAGGGGGTGGCTAGGGTTGAGCACCATTGCATTGTCTTTTAAGGCTCTTAAGTTGCTCTGGTTTAATAAGCTACAGTGGTGTAGTGACTAGTGGTGGGACATGTGTGTGGGAGCTCCGCATTTTTCGTCGGAAAACAGGATCTTTCCAGGAGTACCCAGTCTGATTTCTAGGAAATCTGATTCATGAGTGACTAGTGAGTGTCATGACCAGTATAATATCACTCTGTGATCCCCCTAAGTAGATATATTTATCAATTTACTGGTGAATCTGTGACTACCACGTGAGATGTAGGCCCACCAAACTCCCATCAGTGCCTCAGCTTGTAATCTGAGCCCTGTCCCCCCCCCCCACCGTCCCACCAGGCCACCCAGCTGACCACACACCTAGACCGTCTCACTACTGCCAGCTACTCAGCCCTCACTAGCTCCAATATGTCTAAGTTGGCCTCTCGTATCAAACATTCAAACTTCACGAAACAACAGCTGACTGATGTGATAATGGAAGTCCAACAGACTCTCATACAGGACATTATACAACAAATGAATAAGGAGACCATCAGGAAGCTAGAAGAAGCTGACTGGCATCTCACTGACCAGCTAAGTGAGATTAAAAGAATCTTAGAATTCTCACAAAGGAAATAAGTGACTTACAAGCAAATTTGAACGTTGAAGCTGAAGAGAACCGAACACTCAAGACCCAAGTTCAACAGCTGAGTGAGGAGAATTCCAAGCTCAAAACGGAACTAACGACAACAGCAGACCGGGTGGATTATGTGGATGACAAAGGGCGGCGAAACAACCTCAGGATTGCCGGAGTAGCTGAAGATGCTCATAAGAACTGGAAGTCATCCCAGTACAAAATTTTACGCCTGCTGAATGACCATTTTATACTTCCTGAAGTAAAGTTTGATCGTGTTCAACGCATCG